CGCCAGACTCGCCCGAGCCAGAGTAACCTGACGATGTCCCAGCATATATTACCTTACAAACCTGACCAAAAAATAGAAATTGCCTATGAACGGCTCTGGTATCGTACGGTTCTGACCCTTTAGACCAGAGGTTCCCAAACATTTTCTTTTTCGTAGACCATTTTTAAAAAAATACTGGTTTCGGTGGACCCCCTGCTGCCACATTTTTACCATATTCCCAAAATTCGTCCAAATTTTTATTTTTATTTCACGCCAACGTCGACCCCTGGGGGTAAACCTGGACCACTTAGGGAATCACTGTTTTCAATCAATTAATGATTCGGAAGTAATCTATCCTTATCCATACCTAGACTTCAGAATTCTCTTGGATGTATAAATTGGTTTTAATATGAATATTATTTTTTACGTTTTTAAAGTTTGAACATTTTGAGTGATATAATATATAACAAGTTAACTTTATGTGGCTTACAAAGTGGATAAAGTATGTAATTGAATAATCGTTCGTTGGATCAATCTGTCGTACAGTAACAAATATCGTGGGAAAGCAAAAACAAATCTAAAACGACATATACCCGGCGAAAAAATAACCTCTTTCTTTTCGAAGTCTGTAAAAATTAAATGTACTACACTTATTATTTTAGTTTGACTTGAACACCAGACACAAATTCCATTTTCAGACTGAAATTGAATTATAACACATCTCACAGTTATATACATTAGATTTCTACTAAATACTTACAAAACAAAATAGTAATATTCTTATTTTTAATCAATTAAAACACAATACAATTTAAGTAGCCTCTTTCAGTAAGTGGTCCCTTACACGTGTGTCTAAAAGTTTCAATTTAAATGTATAGTAGGAATTGATTGTGCATTCCATAATAATATTTATTGGTCGTATATACTGCCCCCTAATTGTCTAATTTTAAATCTATTGCAATCAGTTTCAGTTTGAAAGGTGTTGCACAACCATTGCTTGTTTCTGAAGACAGTTGAAAAAAAAGTATTTGTATTATGCAGCAATGGTTGTGCAACACCTTTCAAACCGAAAGCGATTGCAATAGATTTAAAATTAGACAATTAGGGGGCTGGAGTCGTTCATTTGCAAATATAAAGATAATGTAGAAGCATGAAAATTTTTTGGTCAGGTCAAAAAAATACTTTACAAAATTGGTTCACTCAGGTTTAGAGTCACGCACGCGATTATGCATGCCCACACTAGCTAAATTTAGTCATAATGCACTATGAGACAGTACTGCTGCGATTCAGACTATCGACCTATCGACATTTTAGAATTAGTCGATAGTATTCGACTGATAGATATCATTGATACTCGTGCACGATCGATAGTGACTGAATCGCGACAAGATTGTTATGAGATGCAGCAGAGTTTTGCTTATATCGACGCACGCTGTTTATAATTTCTCACACGGAAACTTCTATCATTTTCTAGAGTGTGATGAATCTGCTGGAATAATGCTGGTGGCTATAGATGTATCTTATACCTTACCCAGCAGACACGGACTTTACCTTTGTTATCTTTCCTTGAAGGTATAACAAAAATGAGATTATACTCACGTCCGTCTCATCCTAGCCGTCCGCACTGTGCACGTATACTTTGCACGTTACTAGTTAAGAATGATTTATTTGAAAGTATTAGCTCACCAAAATATTTATTTTTTGTAGTGGTGGTAGAGTAACTCATTTTTTTCTTTTATTTCTTGTTGTAACCTTTAGATATATATGTGATAAAGGAATATTCTCATTAGCAGCTGATTACGATAGGCAGCTGAAACGAGGAGTAAAGCGATAGTAGGTTGATCTCTAAAACTTGAGCTTCTGTAATTGTCATTCGCGGTTACAGCTTGTCTAGCTGATAACGTGCAGCTATCTTTGATACATTATACTAAAATAATTTCTATATAAGCCCAGTATCAACCGTTGTATATATTTTTGACTCTGTTAGCTTCGGATGTCATAGAGTGATTCCATTTATTTTAAGAAGAATGCATGCATTTCTTTGTGTGTTTGTATACTCATTTTTCAGACTTTGTATCTAGTGTCTAGTCCTGACGAGTAGATGTGTCGATTCTCACTATATAATAAGCGTTTTTTTTTTACTTCAAAAGAAAGCCCGTCAATTAAATTGATGTAATTTATTATAAATTTACAATTTATTTAAAAAATATATATTTAAATTAATGTTATTTTGTTAATAAATCATAAAGCTTATATAATAATTAATTTGCTGTGCACTAAACCAAATAATAATCGTTATGAATTATAAATTATTTAATGTAACATAAAGTCGATTGCCGGGCTTTCTTCTTTAAATATTTAGAACTGTTAGATCTTCGAAAAGTCAATTTAAAATCGAATATTATCTTGAAATAAAAAATTTGGTGATTCTCTGAAACTTTATTAATTTGTTTCTATTATTGACATCTTTTAATAGGATTCTTATGATATAAAGTTGTGTGTATATCGAAGCTTTTATATCTAAATTTCTTTAAATGAGACATTTCATTAATAAATTAAATTTGTCCATAAAAATCTCAATCGGTCGTCTTAACTAAACTGTGGTTTATCAAGATAAAATCTATATGGGTGCTTATTACTTTGGAAAAGTATTATTATCTGGGTATATCGCATGTTCAATCAATAACTGTCTTGACTCAAACATTTTATAATTAACCATTTAAGTGATGATGGTTTAATGAATTTCACAATTTTTTTGAGTTACGTCAGTTTGAGATTAAATTTGCAATATGTCAGATTTATGTTTACAATTTGTTTTTTTTTTATGTCTTAAGACAAGGCTATATTGTGAAAAATTGATATACTAAATTTTCTAATAACTGTGTTTTATTTCATATTCCAAGCCTTCCTCGTCTATTTTTCAAATATTTTTACAGTGATAAATAATTTTTGATGAATTTCTGACCAAGTTCTCATTAAATATATCGTACGCTGAAAACGATAGTGACACAATGCAAAAAATGCTATTTTGAGTAATGAGCGTTTAAAGTTCGAGAAATTGTAATCAGCCCCTCTAAACAACGTATCGTCACTACGCCACCTAGCAGTTTCTATGCAGGCTACGTTCACTGGGATCTTTGCATTTTAAAGTTAATACTTAACAAAAAAAACTTTGCCAAAAGTAAAACATACGTCGCTTTGTTTAGTGAAATTGTCATTCTCAACGTGCGCATGTGTCGTTTGGTACTTTGAAATTTTAATAAATTCTAAAAAATATTTCAAAACTTTATTGTTTGATTGATATAATTAACCATATTTTTACAAAACCATTTGCCCATAACCATAGACAAAATACCATACTAAGAACCCATAACACAATAATCGTATATTAATACAATTACGTTATTGGAGAAGGTACAAATTGTTAACAGATAAGGGATCGGACAACTTCCAAAAGAGTTTTGAATTAATAAATATGTTTATTACCATAACAAAAAAAAATGTATGCATATAATTCCAATATTGCCTTATGTGCTTAAAACTATTTAAATTTGAGTGGTAAATAAATACTTAAAAGAATTATTACATTTGTTTTTGCATTCACTAAACAATACTGAAAAATGCTTAAAGCAGTCGCCCGGATTGCGAAAGGTAACGGGTTCGAGTTGTATCTCGGGACAAAGTGGATTTTTTAAGCATTTTTTAATAAGAATACTTAAAAGGGTATTTTAGTAAAATAAATATCGAATATTTTATATTCAAAGAAAATACTAAATTACCCACTAAAACATTACCCGCTCTGCTCGGTGATTAGTTCGACGTGAGACGCGAACTACAGTTTTAAAACGATTGATGACCGATCCCCTATTGCAGCATGTAATTATTTATTTAAGGCTCATTTATTAAAAATGGAATGCGTAACGCATACAAAAAATAAAATTACTATACATATTCACAAATGCATATGGTTTCAGCGCAGATACTTTTATTGATTCATAATCTCGTTGTTGAACTTATATAAGTTATTCAATAAAAACTAAATTAAATTAGAATCCCTTCATTTGCGCGCCATTTCTTTCTCTATTCCGTTAAACCAAAAGAGTTTTGAAAGAGAGAGTTTGAACTTAAGATTTTATTATAAAAATTGATACACGCAATTATGATTTATTAAGATTTGTTGGCATAATTTTTTAGATACTACAAAACAAGTTTTCGTTTCTGATTTAAATTTTTGAAATGGTCAGTTGATAGCAGTTTGATAAAACTAGAACTTTTTGCCATGTGAAACCTAAAAAAAAAACTAAGTCATTGAGAATACCCAACTAGCAAAAATATGTCGTATAGTAGTCGCGGCAACGAAAATTATTCAGCATTTTGGCTCCTAATAGAAGTCGTATAAACGTAATGAAAACGTTTATACAACGCGATTTGGGCCCATTTTATTCAGCAATTCAGTCACATAGACATCGTATAAAGGTAACTTATTCAGGTAAATCGTCACGTAATTATCGCCGGAGTGACTGTTACAAGCTTATGTTGCGCTATAACTGTAACTTATATGACTTTTATATGACATGTTTGTCTTATTGAAGCGACCTGGGATACAAAACAGCTGAAAACATTTCGACGTGTTGTGTTTTAAAAATTATAATTCATCGGTAAGTACAATTTATTTAGCAGACATGTTAATTTGTAGGTTGCACCAAATGTAGGTTCGTAAACTCACGCATAGGGTTGTAAAGTATTGCGAAGGTAAGTTTTCTGAGGAAATATACTAGGTTATATCATAAATATTTAACGCCCCCCTTTAATTCTTAGTAATATGAATATAATAACAAATATTTTTATATCAATATTATTTTTGTACACCATTTTTACTGCTGACAGGCGGTATAATAGCTTCTTATACAGCAAATTAGCAGTATGAGCGCCATGATTATAGTTTAGGGTTCCTTAGAACTTCCTAAAAGTTTTCTAAAAAAGACTTTTTGTTTGTTTTTCCATTTATTCCAGTCCATTTTCGATAACTGTAAACTACTCACAGCATTTTACACAAAACAATCTGATCGGTGTAATGGATACAATTATACGACATTTTAGGCTTGTAATAGTCGTATAAATGCGACGTATACTACATAATAGTAGTATAAAAGCAACAATGTTGCTTTTACTCGACTGAGTCAACCTTGCCATAAGAAAGCTATATAATATGCTTTTACTCGACGAAATAGTAACATAAGCGTCGTATACTAGCGACTTATTCAGCAAAATATTATATGACACTTAAGTCATATAAGGATGCTGACTAAACGTTTACTCAGCATCATTATGTGACCGAAATGCTGAATAACTCAAAAGCTATATAAGATGCTTTTATACGATACGTGCTGAATAATTCACACTTACTCGACTTTTATAACACCGAAAAGCTGAATAAACTTTACCTTATATGACTAATTTGCTAGTTGGGTAAGCAGTTCAGATTTTGTACTTTTCTCAATTCAGAAACCAGCCGTTATCCCTTTACTAAACAAGATTATCGACGCCACTTATGTTTAGAGTATGTTGGTTAAATACTTGACTATACAAATGCTCAATTTAATAGGTAACTATTTGGTTATGATTTCAACTACAATATTACGCTTTTGTCCACAAAACCATCAATTATGCAAAGGTTTTAGTAGACCATAATCTATTGTTATACAGGTGATATAATCTGAATGGATCTATATACAGGGTTAAAACACCAGCAATAACGCCGGATAAATGGCTAACATATAATTAGTACTTTTAGGACCACAATTTAGTACTTCTAACTTCAATGAATTTAAAAACAGAAACATTAAAAAATGCTGTTAATAATGTTAAATATTTATTTATTTTACTGCTGTATCATTTATAGATATATGTTTTGTTAATAAAAAAAAGGTCGGCACTCGCGTGCTGTGTAAAATACCTGCTTACTGCATACTAGAAGCGCCTAGTTATTAACATCATAGCGATTAATTAAATTATGTTTTCATATCAATGCAAAATGTAATCAATTTAACTACGAACAATCATCATGGCTATTTAAAATATGTCATAGAATTAGGCGTTAATTGGCGGAAGAACAAACGGAAACACATATGAATTGCCGTGTGTACTTGTGAATTTGTCTGCAGGCGGTACATAGCAGGTCTTGCAGATACTGACTGGGTGTGGAAGTTGCTTACTATCATAGTTTCTCGGTTATAGTTATTTATAACGTTAGGTAAGCTATCTAGTCCTTGAAAATTGTTGGTGTTTTACCATTAACCCTGTATAAATGGGTATTACTGTAAACATTACCAAATACATATAAGGAATGTACGTTTAAATTACTGTAAATCATTGAAATTGCATTTACGCTTATTCTAAATGAATCCTTAAGCTCTATCGGCTAGTTTGTCTGTGATGTTGGACGCTCGAACTCTAGCGTGTTGAAGGATATCCGTTGCCAAGTCCTCGACTGTCGTGTAACGGCACTTATGGAAACTGAATATGTCTGTTATGAAGCCGACCACTTCAGCTTGAAAGGCCTCGCATACGTCTCGTAAACGTTCGTGGGGACCAAGAAAACCCCATACGAGGACCGGTAGAAGATGCTCCGATATTGAATAGAAGTGGGCCATGAATCCGTCTGGATATTGTAAGTAACGCCTCTTGGCCTTTATCACAGACCACACTGCTGTCGTTAGAGCCTGGGGAAGAAATGAAATACGCTCATAAATAGTTACATGCTACAATTAAAGATATATTACTTTCAAGTGGTTTTATTTTTCTAAAACCAGAGGGTGTTTTTTTGTTTCTATAAAAATGAAATTTCGCATATTTTAGATATTTGGTAAATACGTAATCGACGTTGCATAGAAGAATATTATTATATTCTTTTATACATTTGTTTGTCACGTTATTTCGATATGAATAAACACTTGTACACCACATAGATTGCAGTACAATCGGCGGCTTATACCAATATATTTAATATAATAAAAGATGTAAATCAGACAAGAACAGTTCCATATAATGATCTAACTACAAAATAATAAAATATAAATATGGCAAAAACAGCGCCATCTAGGAATTTGATTTGTAATAAATAGGCATTCTTTTTTAAACTGATCTGACAGATGTTGCCGCAGTGACGTCACACTGTGGCGGGTCGTGTTTCAAGTAATATGATGAAATACAAACAAAAAAAGTCGACTCGAATTTTAAAATTTTACTTTATGACTAAATCAAAATACGGGACCAGTATGGTTTAAAACATGATGATTGATATGGTGTGACATAATTTATGGACAGCCTCTATGTTTATATCAATGTAAAATTTATGTTTTTCGTTTAATTTCTTTTAATTTGGCTACCCAACTGAAAAAAAAGTAATATATCCTTACGCTCTCCTTAAATCCGTCCGAGAGCCATCTGTTTCTAACGACGGCGAGCACTGAGGAGGGCGGAGACGCCAAGTCCTCGAACGCGTCCAGCAGAATATAGTCCAGTACTACGTCGTAGAATGACAACACCTGCATTATCACATTCAACTGTTTACTGATATCTAACAAACAGAGTAAAATACTATTTGGTCATTATTATAGGATAAATGAAAGGGTATGTTAGGAAACCTGAAAAACCGCGCGAGATCATTCGCGCACGAAGTTCCGTACAAAATTCATGTTTGGGAAGCCTCTTTAAATATGTATTTTATTCTGATCTTTAGTATTTGCTGCCATAGACGTACATCATGTGTGAAAATTTCAACTGTCTTACTATTATGGATAGGGACAGTTATTATCCTTCCCCCCCCCTCCTCCCTTTTAAGTACCAGTAAAATGACTCGTGTGATTTAAAACTTGAGAAAAAAACAATTTTGTGGTGTAGTCGATAGAGTTGAAATTTAATGTGAGTGATAGATTTTGTAAGTTTATTTATGTCATTTTTTAAAGTATGTTCTTCTCTGTGCAAATAAAGATGCCGTGCGAATGCAACATGGATTTCGCCTCGCCCAAACTGCCTTAAAATTTCGAGATTCTGATAGTTTACTTTAAAATGTACAGTAGATCCATGAAACCAAATCGATATTGAAATGGCACACTTCAATATCGATTTGGTTTCATGGATCTACTGTAAATTTATAAGAGACTAGTTATTTCCCCAGGACTTTGTCTGCGTAAGATATGGGCTATATTTTTTCATTTTTAATTTCCTCTTGATAGATATTATTAGTATAAGTTACTAACCTTAACGCCCTTACTGAATAATTCGCTTTGTATCGTAGACCAGTTGGCACCGTCAGATGTCCACGACACCATTTCCTCGTAGGCGACTAGAAATTCCTTAGGTTCCTATAAATAACGATATAATAAGGGATGCATTATTATACCAAAATTGTGATTCCTGATTTTGAACTTCGAATGAATTGCAACGTTTGTTTTGTTTATGATACATTATAAGTTGCTGACCCTACCCCGGCGTACAACAAAACGCAGTACTTTGCAAAAATTATGCAGAAATAATGTGCGAGCATTATTAATAATGTCTAACGGCTATCAAATAAAAGTGTTATGCGAAATGTTTTTAGGCGTTTTGAATATTATATTAATTAATTTTAAACAAAATAAATTTTATTAAAATAAGTGTTATTTCAATCGAAATTATGACAATAGTCGTTATAACAAATGTTCATTATAACTGATATTAAAAGTTGCTATAACAAATGAAGCACGCCCTAATGAACAAGATGTAAAATTCCCGGTCAATTCGATTTTTTGAATAATTATTATCAAATTATCTCTCATATTGAGCATTTTGGTATTATGTATAATGCATAATGTATCACTTGGTCCATATCTATAAAATAAAAATAATAACATAAAAAAGGTTTCGACAGCCCTATTTTCAGCGAGTTTTCGGCCGACTAGCAGCAGTTCCACAAACATAGCACCGTGTCTCCGAAAGTATTAATCGCAGACATGCTGTTGCTTCAACATTATTTCTCAGATATTCATGGACTATTTGTTTATCATCATCATCATCAGCCCTTTCACGTCCCCACTGCAGGGGCTCAGGCCTTCCTTATGGATGGTTAAGGAGGATGGGCCATGACCCTCCACGCTGGCCCAATGCGGATTGGAGAGTATTAACGATTGCAAATGCAGCCGGGACCAACGGCTTAACGTGCCTTCCGAAGCACGGAGTAGCTCGAGATAATAATTTTTTGGTCACCCATCCCGTGACCGACCCTTGCGAAAGTTGCTTAACGACTACGATCGCGGGCCGCGGCGCTTATCCACTACGCCACCGAGCTACTCAGCTACGCTACTATTTCTCAGATATTCATGGACTATTTGTTTATCATCATCATCATCATCAGCCCTTTCACGTCCCCACTGCAGGGGCTCAGGCCTTCCTTATGGATGGTTAAGGAGGATGGGCCATGACTCCACGCTGGCCCAATGCGGATTGGAGAGTATTAACGACTGCAAATGCAGCCGGGACCAACATTAATTTTTATAAACAAATAGCAGAAAAACTCGGTAAGGTAGAGGATAAGCGCCGCAGCCCGCGATCGTTGTTGTTAAGCAAGGGTCGGTCACGGGATGGGTGACCAAAAAATTATTATCTCGTGTTTTCATTTTTTCGGCAGCCCTAAGAATAGACAATAGTTGGGTATTGCCCTAGGCATAGTCGGTATCACATTACCTTATCGGCGTACAGCAGTAGATCGGTGAGCACCTGTCGGCCGGCGTCCACGAACCAGGCCCACTGCGCCGCGTCCCGGAACACCTCCTGGAATGCGCCGCGCAAACAGTGCAACTTGCACAGGAACTCCGAATCGGAACCGCACTGCACCACGTCCGTGCGGAGTGTTCTAAAACCATTAATACAATCTCTTTACGTTCACATCAGCGTTCTTAAACGTATCTGAAACATTTACGAATGTTTACGCGGGTAAGCACCCGTCTCACTCTATTATTAGCACGATGGAATAGATGCGTCAGTACAGTGTCGCCGTCAAAACACGCATATGTTTCACATTCAGGGTTGCCACCCGTCCCGATTTTTCGCCGTAAAATGATAAAGGTGGCAACCCTTTTCGGATTCGCATGCAATTGGGCCGGTGTACTTACTAACGGCGTTATGGGATTAAATATTAAGAGCAATCGCTATTTAGTGTAAGACGTCGTCTTAATACAAGGAACATTTAAAAAGGATAAACTACTAGGTACATACAATAAACGTTACTAGATGGTGGTATAATATTGCAAATATTTGTCACGAATGATGACTTCGATAATTATCGTTCATTCGTTAAAGCAATTTTATTTCTAACTTATGTTACGTTTACATGAGATCAATAAAAAAAATGTTGTACCCAATCCCACCAAGGGTTGTGTAAAAATATTTAAAATATACAATGATGAACGAAAGTGTTTTCTATTTTATAGGTAATAACGATAAGGGAATTTAACTACGAACATTAATAAGGCAAATAAATGCTCATTTGTTTGTGTCATATCATTATAGAAAAACTGATTATTAAAGGAAATATCATTTCATACATGTACGGTTCGTACACCTTTTTATGATAGAGAGAGAGAAGTAAAAGTCTTGATATATTATAATTGATATATTGTAACAAGTAAACTAAAATTACTGATATATGGAATGATAATGATATGAGTACGCGCGGCGTGATTGATTACCGATGACGAACTAACTACAAATTGACCTAAATTAATGAATGTAGCGTAAAATGATTACTAGACAAAACTGTACGAGTTGGCTCGTACATGTTCCCGGGCCTGAGATAGGAGAGGGTGGGAGTATTAAGAAATGATTATGAATGACGTGCGACAAGATGATATACATTGTTAACTTATTCTACTAACAAGGTGATTAAACAATATTCTCTTAAAATCTTTTAAAATTAGAGTGAGAAATGTCTGGTAAACGTCGGAGACGTAGACCTATCTTTTGATACCGACACACGCGCACTTTTTGTTTTTACACTATTCACGACAGCACTTTCACTGCACTGATTATTTGAGCTATCTTTACACGCACTAACTACACTAGCACAACACTGAACTGAAGAAGGACTAGCATCGCTAGCCAGAGTTGCGACACCTGCAGCAGGCAGCGGTGGCTCAGGCGCCGTGCGCGCTCGCGCCAGGCGACGCCACACTATCACTGCACCCACAGTCACTCCGGCACCCAGTACCAGATATATGACCACGTAGTGATGAACGTCGTGATAGGATATACGTTCGGCTAAAGTATCGTCGTTCGCGTCAACTTCCAAATTCTTTATCTTCTGCTCTATTTCTTTTATATATCTTTGATGATCAGAAAATGATATCGATGTCGATTCTATGTGATCGACAGGAACTGAGATATTTAAAATGTGATTGATCGGCGGAATATCGATTTGAAGGACATTCAGAGTCTCATTCAAAACATTTGATAACTCGTCTCGAGAGTAAATTGTAAAGGTATTCGATTTAATTATACATCCATTACTTAATGTTATTATTCCTACTTTGTATAACTTTGTAGCGGTAACATGATCTTCACATATGATCCGCACGTTACAATAATTGCAACAGAAAAATAGATAATTATTAGTTTTGTGAAGTTCTACCCATCTATCTTGACATAATGCAGTGCTAGTCTTACATTGTGTAGAATTCTGATTTTTAACACATAAATCGTCACTTGAATCCATATCAAATACAGGTTGCTTTAATGAACATATAAGTTCGCTATTAAAGACATCGCAGCTTTGTATAGCTGAATGCGTCATACGAATATAGGTATCTTTATGTAAGTTCATTGCTATGTAATCTGATATTGGCGTTATTGTTTTAATATTATCTTCTAATTGCTGTGGAATAGGTATTAGTTTGTAAATTTCGTAATTGTCTCGACTAACTAAGGGAATTTTTACTTCAAATATGATAAAGGTTTTCAGGGCTCTCGCTTTTACACTAAGTAAATGATACATACTCGAGAGATCTGTCTGAATGTTGTTTATCGGCAACGTTAACTCCTTTGATAATAAACTTGATATGATACTAAACTCGTTGAGTAGCTGTTCTGGTGTGAGAAGGTGAAAATTAAATCTTCCGTGGTAAGTATCCGTAATAGAATCGATTAAAGTTTCTTGAATATGTCGCAAATTTACTATTAGATTATTGGCGATAACAGAGGACGTAATAAAATCACTGGAGTACTCTAAAAGTTGTATCTCATCTTCTTGTATATTCAGTGCTTTTTCTAAATTATTTAAATGAGTGTTAAAAACTTTATGTTGCTTGTCGATGGTTTGTTCTATTCTCTTGATCAAGTTAAACTCGGCTTCCACTATCGAAGTTTGATTTTTCCATAGGTTTGCTAAGTGTTTCTGATTATATCTAAGAAGCTCTATATCTTTTTCATATTTTTGAGCGAAGTCACTATCAAGAACTCCGAATAGCTGATTTGCAATGTTTCCGATCCCATTGATAAGACCGCGGCGGAGTCGCGTGCGCGCACTCGGCTCACGTCCTGGGAGCTGCTGACCGAGCAAAACACTGTTGTAATGCTCGAGCTCGGTGAACCCGTGATGTAATTGGAGTAGTATAATGTTGCATTGTGATATCTTTTTATTGCCGGTAGTGAAACATGTGTTTTCAAGGTGATTTATATATTTACTTAGTAATGCTGTTCCCGTCCAATATGGAGACAAATCATAGTAAATTACTAGTTTCCACTGGTTTCTCTCAATACGTACATTAGCAATTTTATCAAAATATACACTTTGACTGGTATTTAGGTTGGATGTTTTGTATTTACAGAATGCTGATCCACTGAATGATAATATAAGTGTACATATGATGAATAAGTAATTAAATAAATTGATACTTTTATGAACTTTTCTCGGTTTCCCTTCCACTGTTGCGGCTGCTGTCGTGATATTTTTTACTTTTGATTTCGCAGTACTTTCTTGCTGATTTGGCTGTTCTTCGGTAGCTACTGGTAATCTTGATATTTTTGTAATTGGCCTTTTGATTATACCGTTTTTTGTTTTAATTGATACAACTCGCACATAACCGTCACTTCCGGGATGTAAGGCTATGATACGACCGAGTGCTCATTTTCCTGGAGGAAGGTTAGCATCGTGTATTAGGACTACATCATCAACTTTGACATTTTCTTTAGGTTGACGCCATTTGCATCGAGACGATAACTGACATAGGTACTCAACTTTCCATCTTTTCCATATATCGGTAAATATTTTCTGGGTTAATTGCCATCTTGTTCTCAGGTCTCTCTCGGTTTCTATGATGGTTAATGTGGGTCCACTTGACGTTACACATTTTCGAAGATGTTGTTTGATTAAACGATTTCCACCTATGATCCAAAACTTTTGTCTGGTATATGATGCTGTTAGTCTCGCTCCGCCGTGAAGACAAGTTTTATGATATTGATCGATCAACAGTTCTGATAAACGGCTACTTTTCGGTATGATAATGGGATGTCTCATGTTTGGATTGATATTTGCATTTTTTAATCGTCCTCCGACTCTAAGGAGACCGTTTTTATCTAAAAAGGGATTTAATTCACATATTTTGCTCTTCGGGTGAATAGTATTTCCTGATTTTAAGCAACCAATTTCTTTCTGAAATTCAAGGTGCTGGACATTCTTTATAATGATATTTCTTGCTCTTTCTAACTCAGAAAGTGTTATGTAGCTTTTCTTTTCTCCTTTCGAAATTAACCGCAACATCCAAGAGATTATTCTGATAATTTTGTTAAATGAACTGCAACTTTGTAGTAAATGATATATGATATTATTTTTTATGGCTTTTTCGGTGACGACGTTAACTAAACTTTCTTTTCTGACTTCCTGTTCCGTATCAAATTTTATTTGTTTTTCTTCTAACTCATTGTAATCTCTTAGCCAGGACGGACCTTCCCACCACCTAGAATGCGCTTTTAATTGAGATGCTGTTAACCCTCTACTGGCGCAATCGGCGGGGTTTTGTTCAGATTTTACATAACGCCAGCACTTTCGCGGCATTACTTTAACTATTTCTTTCACGCGATTAGCAACGAAAGTCTTCCAAAACGATGGATCTCTGTTGAGCCACCCTAAAACAATCATTGAGTCACACCACCCATAAATTTTGATATCGTATCCTTTTAAACATTATTTTGCCTTTGACATTAATTTTGATAGAAGTAGAGCTCCGCTCAACTCCAATTTGGGTAGAGAGAGTTTTGTGCTTGTAGGAACTAATCTTGATTTCCCTACTAATAACATTATTGTTGTATTTGAGCCCCTTTTGATTCTACAGTATATAACGCAAGCGTAAGCTTTATTCGATGAATCACAAAACCCGTGCAATTCAATTGTGTCGCCTTCTCGGGTTTCAATCCAACGTGGTATTTGTATTTTATTGATATTAATAATGTCACTTTTTATTTTATCCCATTCTGATTTTATTTGATCGGGCAATTGATCATCCCATTTGATATTTGATAGCCACACATTTTGGAAGACAATTTTCAACTTTGTGGAAAGTGGTGATAACCAACCGAGGGGGTCAAATAATTTCGATATATTTGATAATAAAGAGCGTTTGGTTTCGCAATCGTTAGATATATTAATTTTTGACTCGAAAAGGAAAACGTCTTTATGTGGATTCCAGCTCAATCCGAGAGTTTTTGTTTGCTCAGCTCCCTTGAAATTAAAACTTTGATAAGATGATTCACTATAGGAATCTGATATCTCCGGGGCCATACTACTGGGAAAATTTGATCTTTCATCTGAAGCCAGTTGCTTTAAGGTCATCATAGCTAGGTATGGGGCTGCTTTGGTTCCATATGTCACGGTGGTTAAATGATATTCCTTTAGAGGCTCGTTGATAGAGTTGCGCCAAATTATCTTTTGATACTGTTGATCTTTTTCATTAACCCAGATTTGGCGGAACATTTTCTCTAAATCTGCAGTAAATCCAAATTGATATTGTCTCCACTTGATGATTAGAGACTGGAGATCCTGTTGCAGATTAGGTCCAGCTTCCATCACGTCATTTAAACTTTGTCCAGATGATGTTTTAGATGACCCATTAAAGACAACTCTAAATTTTGTTGTGGTCGACTCTGCTCGTTCTACGCTGTGATGAGTCAGGTAGAAATCGGGTTTTACTGTCGGGCCACTAGATAGTTTCATATGTCCTAAGGAATCATATTCGTTCATGAATGATTTGTATTCTGTATACATTTTTTCGTTACGAATGAATTTGCGTTCTAATGATCGAAATTGTGCAATAGCTTTATTTTTTGATTCACCTAAATTTTCTGTAAAATTCTGTTTTAGTGGAAGTCTTACTTCATAGCGCCCATCATCTCGTCTGATTGTCGTATCTTTATAATACTGCAAGCATTGCTGATTTTCTATTGATAAGGGAGAGTCGCCAGTAATATCTTCGACTTCCCAGAACTTTTGAATTTCGTCCAAATTATTCAATATAACATTACATTGTATCGTCTTGACGTTACCGCTTAAAATCCAGCCCAAACGCGTATTTTGTGCTAGGGGTGTCTCGTTACTTATTTTACATATGCCTTCTAATAATATCAATGAATAAATGTCAGCGCCGAGTAATAAATCTACGGGACGGCTAAAATTAAATTCGGGATCTGCTAATGTTATATTGTGTAAATAAGACCATGTTGGCTTTTTAAATGATTGGCTGGGTAAGTTTTTTATTAAACTGTTCATTATGAGTACGTCTGTTTCAAATTCAAATTCATTGTTAGTTGACGAACATTTGATATGTATCATCCCCTTGCAGTTGTTTTCATTCGCACCTATTCCGGAAATGACTCCTTGACATTTACGTCGAGGCAACCCTAACCGCTGCACTGCATTCTCAGTTATAAGCGACGCTTGCGATCCTTGATCTAACAAAGCCCTTAACTCCATGTATGATCCGTCAAAAGATTGTACCTTTATTATCGCTGTTGCCAAAAGTATCTCTGGGATTTCAGGTTGTAAAGACACATGAGAGTTGCTGCGTACTGTTGGCGACGGCTCCGGGCGTGCGGTGTTTTGAAATTTTCTGAAGTTCGAAGTGTTGGATGGTTTATCGGATAGAGTGAATGCATCATGTAATAGAGTGTTATGAGCCTGATTACACTCACGGCATTTTTTATTCGAAATACATGCTTTACCATAATGGCAATAGAGGCAATTTTGACATATATTGAACCTTGATATTGTTTTGCGTTTTGATACTGCATCCATGTCTAAAAATTGTTTACAAAAGAAAACTCCGTGATCATCGCTTTTACAAATGGGACATTTATAATATTTCGTAGCGTAAACATTTTTATTATTGTAAAATGATTGCGAAATGTTGCGGCTCTGGGCCGGAAATGATTGCTTAATGTTAGAATGAATATTGAGTTGTTTATGATAGTTTGGACTCGATGTGGCATTAAAATTATGATTTCTTATGATTGACTTAGACGAGTGTTCTTGTTTACGTCGAGAAGTTTCCATGGTGGTAAACTTGTTCTCCAAAAATATTAAAAACTCTGATATATTAGGTATTTCTCTCGGCTGTTTCACTGATGATATGTACTCACTGTGGGTCTCAGTATCTAATTTTTGACAAAGAATATAAATTAGTAGGGGATCCCACGAGTCAACCATTACTCCTAAATTTTTGATGGCGTTTAGGGTTTCACGTGTAGTATCATGAATCCGTTTTAAATGATTGATTGATACTTGTTGTATAGCTGGAATACTAAATAGAATATCAAAATGTGAGTTGAGAATTAATTTCTTATTATCGTACCTATGCGTCAGTATATCCCAGCAAACGGTATAATTTTCAGATGATATTGATAAATGTTGAATGAGTCGCTCAGCTTCACCTTTGACCTTTGATTTTAAAAATTGCATTCGTTGAGCGTTTGACAGTGACGGGTTGTTGTGTATAGTTTCGACAAAAAGATCCTTGAAAGAAGTCCACTGATGGTAGCTTCCACTAAATGAAGGTAACTCTATATGAGGTGTCGATTGTTCACGGTGTGATACGGACCACAATTTCCTATTAATTGACTTGATAACTTCGTTATACTTTCGTTCAAATCTAAAATATACAGCTTCGTAATCTGGATCCCTACTTCCCAACTCACTGTCTAGCTCCCAATGTAGAGAATCTATTGCTGACCAACGAGTTTGAATTACACGCAACAAATGATCGAACTCCCATTTTTCAGTGATATTATCTAGGTTGATATTACAAATAGTATGTTCAAACGCCTTAAAGTGACTACTCTGTTTCCTTAACATTTCGTCAGTCTTACTACTCATGCCTTGTGATCGTGATGAAGTACCTTGCTCTGCTATTTGATGAGAACTCGGTATAGTCATGGGCGTAGCTGGCTTGATAACTGGAGTGGAAGGTCTGCTGCCCTCATCTCTCGGTTGATAATTTTGAATAGTCGCCCTTATGTTTGAAAACCTATCTTTTACTATCTCATACTGATTTGAAGTAAAGTATTGATGAGTTTTATTCCCAAAACCACACAGCTTAACATGATTCGATTGATATTCATGCCAATAAGAATCTAAAGTTTCGAGACGTTGTTTGATATAGGTAACGGTTTTCCTATCCGAACCGTCCTTCTTAAAATTAGTGTAAATTTGCTCAATAGCAGATGACAGCTGCTCCTGAGTTTGTAGAAAATCTTCCATGCTGGACATTTTGATATAATGTAGTAAAAATAACTAAATGATACGCCTTACTTGTTTCGATGATACTGATCGATCGTGATTGCAAGTTACTCACGATCCCTAACGCTGCTTCTTGAAGTTTCTTCGATAACTTCAGTGAAAGTCCACCTCACTTGTGACACAGAGTCACTATTTTCTGAGTTCACGTTTGCACTGAGTCACTCGCGAGGCCCTTATTCGAAGGACCAAAAAAGATGTACGGTTCGTACACCTTTTTATGATAGAGAGAGAGAAGTAAAAGTCTTGATATATTATAATTGATATATTGTAACAAGTAAACTAAAATTACTGATATATGGAATGATAATGATATGAGTACGCGCGGCGTGATTGATTACCGATGACGAACTAACTACAAATTGACCTAAATTAATGAATGTAGCGTAAAATGATTACTAGACAAAACTGTACGAGTTGGCTCGTACAATACATGTGTTCAAATAAATAAAAAAGTTCATTATTATTGTCTTATTTTGCACTCACCTATAAGGTATACCGGATTCTAGCTGTTTTAAAGAGTTTTGATATAATTCAAAACTATCCAATTCCGGTGACAGTTCTGAGAGGTCATCGAACTCTCGAAGATCTGCAACCTAAAATTATGTTTTTTTTTAAAACAATAGCGTAGTACGATGTCAATTTTCCCTAAGTATATGTTCAATTGACATGCATCTGTTAGAGAGCTTCATTAACACGTGGTATCCAGTTCCAAATAGGTAGAAACATTGACAGCACTTCAGGCTATCTGAACCTGTCGAATTACTACAACTGATCATAAGCCTGTCATGTATTGACACCAAGTAGCGCGACATAGAAATGCTAGTAAAAGGCCTCTACTTAAAGCAGTCTGGTCTAGCAATCTATACTAACTTTCGAGAAGAACAATGCCATGGTTACTCCCGAGAATTTAAAGTTAAGCATGTCTCAAACTTGTCTTAAACCACCTTAAATGTCACTTAAACAGGTTTTCGGTTCTGATTTTATTTTTTTAATGATCATTTGATAGCAGTTTAATAGAACTAGGTATTTTGCGATGTAAAACGTAAATAAAATTAAGTCATTCAGAACTTTTTTGCACTTTTGAGATTTTGCACTTTTCTCAAATTCAAAAACCGACCATTAGTACTAACTGATGCTTGACAATGATTGGTCTGCTTTATTTACCTATTTGCCAAATATGACAAAAACACATCTTAGTTTCTTGCTGATAGCAATCGTAAGAGGACTTCTGTAGCCGACTAGTTCGCATGCCGGTTTCGATCTGTCGCCATTTTTAAGATCCCATAATGTACTTTTCTATATTGGTGCGGTTATGTGTTGTAGCACCGTTGTTGTCTGAGATATTCCATAATATGGAGGAGCAATATGAGATGTTTCAATCTATTAATTTAAAAACAATGTTCGTATTCTCGTACCTGATCCTCTGCTGATGCAAAAGACTCAGCACTGGAATGGTGGTCGCGCTTCGTGTGCGAGGAGCCCGTGTGTGTAGAGAGCAACCGAGAGCGCGTGCCCTCCGTCTGCCCACCACCCCCCACCCTATCGCCACCACCGCCACTCTCCGAACGAAACAACACCGACCGCTGATCTAAGAACAGCAGCTCGCACCTCTCCTATTCACACACAACTCAATTCATTCATTCGTCATTCTGCCACATAACATGTCATTTTTTCAATCAAAAATTACTGGACTGATTTTAGAAATTCTTTCACCTACGGGAAGTTACATCATATGTGGTGAATATATTTTATCCCAAAAACAGCAAATTTAAGGATGGAAATGGGAGTGGAAATTTGTATAGGGAATGAAAACGTTACCATAGTAACTATTGTTTACTATTCAATTTGTCATTATTATTATATCCGTGTCATTGTGTCGTATGATATGAATGGATATCCAAAAAACAGTTTTAACTTTAAAAGTTGAATGGTTTAAATTAACATCAACATTATAACGAGTACCTACTTGTAAAAGGTAAGCATTTTGCAGCAATTCCTGTATCTCCCTACAGAATTCCGCCTCCTCCGGTGACGTGAGGGCGAGCGCTCCGGACACCCCGCCCCGCGCACCCAAAGAAAACGCCGCCAGGGCGTCCTCCCAATAGTTTATGCTGGTCTCCAACGCTTCCATTCCTATGGACAACCGATGACATGTGATAAGCTACATAATTCGAATATATATCACGCCATTTGCTAATAGTAAATATGGTTATAAAAAAATCAGATAGTACAGATTTGCTATTACTTTAAAAACAACGTGCTTCATAACGGTAACATTTTTCGGCAATTAGCGGCTGCACTATCGGCAACATACTGCCTGGCTATTGCAGAAATGTTTTTAACTTCTTCGTCCATATCATAAATGGTAAGCTATATGGCCTGGATACAATATTGCACAACCTGACTGGTATTTCTTGAGATGACGCAATCAAGGGCTGATATAACCAACTCCTGACCTGGAAAAATTGTTAAACGATTTTATTTTAGTACTTTCAATATTATTTCATTTAATACGATTGATTTGTAATTTAAATATAGGTAGTTATTTTTAAGTTTATTAATACCTACTTTTTACTTGAATTTCTAAACAAAAATATATTTTTTTGTAACTCAACCAAGACTGCGACCCCCAACCTCCCTGGCGCCAAAGTTAGATCCGCCCTTGCTTGGCCATTGTTGGAGTCACTGATTGCCAAAAAATATTACCTATTTAGAAGCCCTATTCAGAGTAAAACAGTTTTCCATTTTTTTTGAGAAGTAATGAAAATGCAATATGTGTGTGTGTATATTTATTCAATTATTGCAACAAAATATTTATATATCTTATGGCACATTAGTATTATACTTATTATTATATAACTAAGAAACTGACACGAGTTTATTGCAATAATTTCTATGTAACATAATCATTTACGGCAATGAGATCGTTTTAACTTATTACATATTCAATAGTCACAAAGATACTAGAAACAACGCTAGATATTAGAAAATTGACTGAAATGAAAATATCTTTATTCAAGTAGGCATTTACAAGCATTTTTGAAAAAAAAAAAATTTCCCCTACCACTTGTTCAGGACGTCGTTTAGCTGACAAGAACAAGCGAAAGAAACTTACCAGCTCTTTATCATAAGTAATGACATTTACATAAATCATGTCATTACCAAAATAATATGTATTATCACAACAATAAATACAACTTTCAAAGTCTGTAGGACATAGGTTGAACATATAATTAATCTTTATAGAACAAAGCGAAGGCTATTAATTTCATGCATTGCGATTCTTAAAATAATCATCAACTTCATAATAGCCTTTACTCATAAGTATGTTCTTTACATGAATTTTAAATTTATTTATGGGTAGGTCAACTACATTTGGTACCAGTCAAAATTCAGTACCATCTCGCGACATATCCTTAAGCTTTACTCTTTCATATACCTACACAAATCTGTTCAAAGAAAAACGTCTTTCATATGTGGACCATTAACTTGCAAAGGGTGCAATTGCTGTAAGTGCTGAACAGCTTCCTGCACCCCGCTATTAAGATCTTGTACAGTGCCCGCTAAGGCCGTAATAGCATCTGCTATCCTTTCTTCTAGCATACTCCGCCGCTCCTCTTGTGTTCGCATTACTATCGCTATAGATTCTAAAGCATTCGCTATACGTTCTTCTGCTGTTATCCTTCGTTCCTCAATTTCTAATGCCCACTTTGGTGGAGGGGTTAAGGCACGAGTATCATCATCTGTTAAAATAGTTATTTGTATATCAGTATTTTTAGAAAATAAAATTAAGATATTGCATCCTAATATAATATGGTCAAAATATGGTGAGAATACTGTTAAAACAAACTAGATTTAATTTGGATCCTGTTAAATTGTATTTTTATTTCTGTTTAAAACTAAGTATGATGATAGAAGTATATTTATTATATTATACAGGAGTATAATTATATTACTAAGATATTATGTGATAATCAAATACCATTAGACTAAGGGTCAATGGAAGATCCATCACACATCTAGTGAAAGTATGAACCAACTTTGATTTCCCATTTTAAGTTTAGACTATAATACAATAGATTTGCCAATAATATTGATTAATCTATTTTCGTTTACAATGCAAAGCTTCTCTGCACATTATCAATCGCTACTAAATATCTGTCGCATCTTATCATAGATGTTAACACACCTAATGTTTTTGTGGGCTTTTTACTATTTGAACTAGCAGTAGCTGATCTTATTTTAACATTTTCAAGTGGCTCGGAGTCTGAATCTTCAGCTAAAAAGTTTTCTAGTTGTTTAGAAGTAGATGCAACGGGTGTGACTGTTCCCTTCCCACTCAGCTCCAATACTCTTACTTCTAGATCATTGAGTGGTATAAATCTATTTGTGTTCCCATCATTAGATGACTGATATCTTCTAGCATCTGATGCTTTTCTTCTACACTTATGACGCCATTCAAACCAATACTGAAATAAAAAAAAACTATAATTAAAATAAGGCTAAAGAAGGTACATAAATCTAATGTCAGTCACATTAATAAATATGATTATTACAGACAGATATAAAACAACAAAGTGAGTAGGTAATGGTTAAATAACAACATTAAAATGTATTTTTACTGGGATAAAACATGTTAGAACTTACTGGTTTGTATTTGGAAGTATGATAGGAGTTAACAAGTTATTAATATAATAAATAATATCCAATGATCAGAAATAGAAACCTTTTTCCAGCCATCAGGCGTTTTCAATGCTCCAGACTGAACAGCGTTAAGTTGTTTTGCTAGCACTGCCCATTTCTGCCTTGTGGCTTGATGTGAAACTGGAGTACCTGGTGGTAAACCTTTAGACATATCCTTGTTTTCCTCCAAGAAGTCCATTAAAATCTCTAATTGCTGCCTTAGTATTCTACGAGGAGGAGCCATCTGTAATTTATATTTACGTATTTGATAGTACTACCACAAAAAAATAGTATAATAGTTGTTACGAGTACAAAATCAATAAAAATAACAGTAAGAGTACATACCTTAAATAAGTTACTAAAATCAAATCACGTTTAATATCCCGCAATGTAAATAAAACTTTTATTAACGCGCGCTATATTTGACACTAGGAATCTCTATCACTTACTTATCATGAAAATAAAGTTATAGCAAGCGAATGATAAAAGAACGATATGTAATGGCGACCTCGATCGTTTGGTTTTTATTGCATTGTTATTAACACTTTTGTATAATAATTCATTGATTCATTCAAAATAATTCACTCAATACATTACAACTATTTTCAAATAAAATATTTTTAATAATCTAAATAATACTATTTTGTATAATTCATAGTTTATAATGTTGCCTTTTGCCATAATAGCCGTTCGGAAAATGGTAAATTAAAACGTCGCTAGATGTCGCTCAATACATAATAGGTAAGTTTAATTAGATTGAATACTTAAATTGTTGATTAATGTGATGATAACTTTAAAGATTTGTCCAGAGATAGATAGATTTATTGTAAATATGAATTCAGTACTGAGTTCAATCGAATGGTAAAGTTGTTTTAAATTAACATATTGAATTGAATGTATACAGTTTAGAGCAATAGTACGCTACTCCCCGCTAGATGGAGTTTATGAAACTGGAGTCATTAAAATTAACGCTACAACATAGTACAGCTATTGGCCACTAGATGTCATGTTAAAGTTTTAAATAATCTAAAATGAAAATAAAAAATAATAATAGTCTATAAATACATTAAAATTACACATGTATATAGTTTAGAATATGGACACGAAGAACATTAATACAAAAAAAAACGAAATTGTTAGATACATTTTGATAAAATAAAAAAATAATAATAAGGTCAGGGTTGTACTTAGTATCTAGTATAGTGGTAATTTGCAAAGAATTTAAATTAAAAAAGGAGGCATCAATTTCGTTAGATATTGTTTCTATTCGTTTTTTTAGTATGTTCTATGATATACGGTGTTCATCGTAGAACATAAAATTTTACAGAAATCGAATCAATATCAAATTCAAGAAACTTCATTTGAAGTTGGGTAGATAAAAGCGTGACACGCAAATCATGACTTCATCACTATTATTTACTGATAAGGCGATATAGTTCGAATATTAAAATTTCTTTGGCTATTAGAGATTAGTGTTTCATAAGGCTACGCATAAACTGAAAAGTCAGAACAAATTTTTGCTTTTATAATATGAGTATCGATTATTTTATATTTGGACGTTATTTCTGTGTACAAAATAAATATTTGATACGTTTAGTTTAGAGCCTCTTTATAGTTTAGGGACTATGAGTATATAGAGATATAAATTCTCAAACTGCTATACAAAGTTCGCTAAACTGTCTAACTAAAAACTGTCTTAAAAACAATTTTAATAAATAATAATAATAATAATAATGTTCTAACATTATTAAAATTCACTAAAATATAATTATTTTAGTTCAAATAAGCAGCACAACTTTCAAATCAACTTTTTAGGAAAAATTACCTAAATTGTATTTGTAGAATTAAAATTAAATATTGTTTCGGGTCTTTATATGCTTGCTTATGGACTGAAAAAGATATGAAAATGCTGAGCTACAATTATAGTCTAATAACATATATGTACTAACCCGATTAATTAATTGCCATGAGATACTATAAAATTTAAAGCTCAAAGCTTAATTAATTACTAGATAAAAGCTTTTAGGTTAATTTGAATATTAAATAATTCTCAATGGAAGAAAATAATGATGAGATTCATATGCTAATCGTCCAATGACCACGCTTTGTATATCGTCCAAAGTGTCGGCTTACGGCATTCACCATAATTAATTTACCAGGAATTTTTGTATGTTACCCCAATCACGGTAACAGTTTCGTGAGCGTCTGCGATTAAAATAGTGCAATTGAAAGTTGGTGCCGATTTATGGTAATTTTTCTATTTACGATTATTTTGTTACTGAAACGGTTGTAGTTATACTTTATTACAATGGTTTCTAAAGCTGACTGGGCTCTGGTCTGTCCAGTGTCCAATCTAATAAAAAAAAAACTCGAAAACTAGAGAAAAATATTGCTTAAAATGGATTCTCTAATCGAGGATAAATAAATAAATAATAATAAATAATATTTAACAACATCACACACATTGCTCAGATTCCAAGATGAGTAGCTAAAGCCCCCGTATTATGGAGTATCTGAGACAACGAAGGTACCACAACACCCAGACCCGAGTCAATATAGAAAAGTTCATTTTCTACATTGACCCGACCGGGAATCGAACCCGGGACCTCAGAGATGGCGACACCTTGAAACCGGCGTGCGAACCACTCGGCTCACCACATAAATATCATATCCGATACGATACGATTATTAGGATCTGCTTAATTGTCGCTCATGACCAATAGTTTGGGAAATAGTGCTTGCTCTATTATGATGTAAAAATACTAAATGTTAGTCAGCCTAGCACACGGAGGGCTACTTAAGAACCATTGTACAACGTTTTATTAACAGACTTCCATTTTCAGTTTATTTAAATTTATCCAGACTGTGACGGTTGTTTGGAAGAAATTGCTTCTTAGAGATATAGTTGCCGATTTGTATTGTTATTGGTATATATGTACAACAAACAATTATTCATTAATTCATCCATAAAAAATCTAAAATTCTATGTTCGAGAGGTCCTATGGATGTGTATCGATTTCTTTGCGAATCATCATACTTTTTCAAATTAAAGGTCCGAAGTGTAAAATTATATTAACATTTTATCGAAATCAGATCAGCAATTTTGTTTATAACAAAATATTTGGAGAACCTTTTTCAAATAATAAATAAATTAGACGACATTTTCCAACGAACTTGATAAAATCTCGAAAGTTGCTGCCCTAAATAATAATATTTAGCAATAATAACTATAATACTAGGGTTGCCACAATTTTTTTCCAATTAAAGTACATTACTTTATTATAGGGGTACAGAAAAAAGTACGTAGAAACTTAAAAATATATATTTTTATGTATCGATTCAGCATAAATACTTACGACTAAGCTTCAAAATCACAAACAAATCAAATCATGCGAAATAAAGTATTTTCGTGTACTTTATTGTTCTCATAGAGTATAGAGTACAATTGTCTGAAATAACGTTCAATACTTTATTATAAAATACGGGTGGTAACCCTATATAATACCGACTCTTCGCCCTGACTTCATTCAATACATAGAACTTTCTTGAACATATGATTTAATTTGCACTTTATTGAAGTCTTATCTTTACGTTTATCTTCAAAAAGTCGTTTGAGAAAATAGCGTTGGTAAACTATCTGTATCCATGATGGGGTACAGGATACAGATAAATTTTCCTACTTAGTGCGCACGTAACGGACGCACGTCATACCTTAGCTTTGTATAAAATCGTATAATACTCCGTCCACAGCTCGTACCGGAGGGACCGACTGCACGCATTATATTGAGCAAAGAGAATGCGATGCGTGCCGATGACGTCATACGGACTAGTTCCATAGAGCTACTACACATTGAAACTTAAAATTTTTCCACCTTCAATCTCTTATAATCTTCTCTATCGATCCATCTCGTAGGTATATAATTTCTCGATCGATTGGTACTAGGTTACTCGTGAATGGGGTGAATGGGGGGCATAGAATTACTTAGTGCTGTATTAATTCGGCACCGGTAATAAATGTAATTAATTCATAAATAGAGCGGGACGAACTAAAAAATATCCACTCTGCAAAATAGGTACACAACATATCACTTTAATATAGTTATTTTAAGCAAATTTACAAAAACTGTCATGCGTGCCGTTTCCTTGCACCAACTACTGTAAAAGCTTTTTGTCACTTAATTTATTACTTACTAGTGGACGCCCGCGACTTCGTCCGCGTGGAAGTCGGTATCCCGTGGGAGTGAGAAGTTTTCCCAGTAAAAAGTACCCTATGTGTTATTCTGATGTATAACCTATATTGCTGTAAAGTTTTATCCAAATCCGTCCAGTAGTTTTTTCGTGAAAGAGTAACAAACATCCATACATCCATACTTACAAACTTTCGCCTTTATAATATTAATAGGATCTAAATAACTTTTTTGTGTAACGGATGTACTCAGTATTTCAATTAAGAGACGAGCTCGGGGATATTAGTCCGTGGCCTTTTAAGTTTAAAGTTGAAAATTGTGTTTGGCTTACGACAACAAAACGTTTTTTGTCGTCCGCGGATTTTCCGCGGTCACGAGTACTCGCGAATCCGAAACCGGTCCAACGGGGACCATGTTCAAATTTGGACCATTAACTGTGAGAGACTGAATGCTTTTCTGTTAAACGTCGGGACAGTTCCGTGTTTTTATTACCGATACCTATACAAAGTAATATTTTTATTCCGTATTTCGTTTTGTCATTTCGAAAAACATTTGAAGCATGACGCGACGTGGCCAGTATCAGTTATCACGAATTCAACTTTAAATGCGACCGCAAGAATGCTATCGTTTTAAAAAAGCGGTCGGGCTTACGTCACGACAAGACGCGAGCAGCAAGTTAATTCATCCAGAGTCTGGGAGATTCAGAAGCCATGTTTGTCCATCGCCATTAAACATTTCACAGAAATTGATGAACTATGTCCTGCGTAACTGAAGACTGAAGAAATTACAAGAACATTAAAATTTTCTATGAATATTTTTTTCGATATATGTATATCGACATCCACACTGATAATATGAACGTATAAAATAAAAAGTAATGAGATAACAAACAGAAAAAAAAAACAGTGGAATTGAGAAGCCCCTCCTTTTTTTAAGTCGGTTCAAAATAAAAATTACGCTAGACCGCCTGGGCCGATGGCGATAGATTTTATGTTTTTTACTTTTTGTTGGTTTATCTAGTACGTAAATTACAAAACATAAAATTTGAAGAAGCTTAGAATTCCTGCTCAAAAGCCCCCTTTCATTTTTTTTTTTATTTGTTTAAAAATCTAAAGAACATCGTCTGTCGTTATCATCATCAATTTAATAAAAGATCATATACGTATAATCAAGTCAGGGTCATGACATCAGACGAAGTAAATCATAAATGTCGAACAGAGTGGCTTTTAATTACACAGGCGTCAAACGCCCACACGCCGTCCGTCTACTCGAAACTTAAGGCATTATCTCAGTATAGTAACCTATTAATTACTCTGTGGCGTTATCAAAAATATCCAATCGCAAAGAGTGATCACTAGTAGGACGCGAGGTAGGAAACAGTTGAAGTTAACGGGCGGCAGGTCCCTTGGGCGACTTGGAGGGAAACGTCTGCGGATTGCTGCGGCAATCGCCACTTCGTGTCGCGCGCCACGCTCTATTGTCGCCGGCCGCCGCCACTCAGTTCTCCGTAGACTCCGCACTGCGGCGGTCCTGTCACACGTTTAATCCTCGCTACAATAATTCTCACATCGGTACAACCACCATTGTCGTAATATTATCTTGAATTTTCTTCGTATGCTGACAGTATACCTAGTGCCCCCTCGGAACCTGTTACAGTGTGTGTGCAAGTTGCGAAACTCGCGTATTTTGTGTTTTCTTCGTGTTGTTATTGACGGCGATTGTTAATCAATCCCTTTGAACAGGTAAGAAAAATATCAAACATCAGAAGATGACTAAAAAATATTTTGAGTAAACAGTTTTAATGTTGCATTATATATTGCTTTTAGATGTAATGATAATGAATTTAATGTTTTAAATTATATTGTTAATAAAAAGGAAAGAATTTTGGAAATTATCAGGATACTCGATACCATATCGTCAATTACATATTCAGCAAGATCTTCCACTGATATGCAGGCTTTCCTTAGATCAATAGAACCAGAACTAATGATAAATCGGTTTCTATTTAAAAAATAATA